TAGTAGTAGTAGTAGTAGTAGTAGTAGTAGTAGTAGTAGTAGTAGTAGTAGTAGTATAGTAGTAGTAGTAGTAGTAGTAGTCAGTGGTGGTAGTAGTAGTAGTAGTAGCAGTAGTAGTGGTAGTAGTAGTAGCAGTAGAGTAGTAGTAGTAGTAAGTAGTAGTAGTAGTAGTAGTAGTAGTAGTAGTAGTCAGTTGGTAGTGGTAGTGTAGTGTTAGTGGTAGTGGTAGTAGTAGTAGTAGTAGTAGTAGTAGTAGGAGTAGGAGTAGTAGTTGTAGAAGTAGTCGTACTAGTAGTAGTAGTAGTAGTAGTACTAGCAGTAGTAGTAGTAGTAGTAGTAGTAGTAGTAGTAGTAGTAGTAGTAGTAGTAGAAGTGGTAGTAGTAGTAGTAGTAGTAGTAGTAGTAGTAGTAGTAGTAGTAGTAGTAGTAGTAGTAGTAGTAGTAGTGGAAATAGTGGTAGTAGTAGTAGTAGTAGTAGTAGTAGTAGTAGTAGTAGTAGTAGTAGTAGAAGTAGAAGTAGAAGTCGTAGTAGTAGTAGTAGTAGTAGGAGTAGTATTATTATTATTCTTCTTATTCTTATTACTATTATTATTATTATTAGCATTAGTATTATTATTAGTAGTAGTAGTAGCAGTAGTAGTAGTAGTAGTAGTAGTAGTAGTAGTAGTAGTAGTAGTAGTAGTAGTCGTAGTCGTAGTCGTAGTCGTAGTCGTAGTCCGAGATGTTTGAACCTGTTTGGGTACCCTAGGGACCTCCAGAGGCCCCTGGAGGCTTCCGGGGCCCCAGGGATCTCCAGAGGCCTCCATCTGGGCGCAGCCCCTCGAATCATAACAAAAACACGCTCGAATGTTTCTCGCTACTTTCGGGACCTCCGGGAGCCCTTGCTGGGCCCCGGGACCGTCAAACAACTACCTAAGATGAAAACCGCGTCCCAGGGAATGGGTCGAGACCTCTGAGGGTCGACGCCATGACAAAATCACGACGTCGGGGATCTGGGATGAGCTCGTCACCGCCATCCCATTGCGGGCACACCGTCGCCCCGTGTGAACGGCCAATTCTGGAAACCATGGGCCCACACAGGTCGCCACCTCGCTGTTGCTTACGCCGTCTTCCGCCTACCTCTGCCGCCGGGCCCGCCGCGGCTTCCCTCCTGCAGGCTTCCGGCAGCCTTGCGCCAGCTTCCGCCGGAGGCGAGACGTTCCGAAGGAGAGGCCCTGCCTGGAGCGCGCCACAAACGAGCATGCGTGTACAGTCGGACCTGGGAAGAAGAACATCCCTTAAGACCATGAGACCCTCCGCCGGCCAAAACACAGAGCAGTCAAGGGCACCCTCCCCAGGATGCACAAGAACATCCAACAGACACGAAGAACACGAGGGTACCGTCCCCGAACCGACCTCGATCTCATACCTCGGTCCGACTGTATCATTTGGACCCCCGAAATGGCTACGGAAAGAATGGGTACGATGCCCAAAAGCAAGTGTTGTCGAGAACCGACAGCGGCCGCTGTTGGGCTGGCGGCTTCTGCTTCGAATGGACAACGTCCGCGGCGACACCGACACCGAGTCGTGTTCAAGATTCAAGACGAACAGGAAATGCTGTCGGTCTTCGTACCCATCTTTTCCGTACTAGTACCCGTGTCGATCGTACCGATATCATCAGGCGCACGCCAACATGGTTCAGGGATCCGTGGATCTGGCGCGTGGGCGCCAGACCCACAGATCGTCCCAGAAGGTAAGGCAAGCGCCGTTTCATTTGGCGACAGATCGCGCCAATTATGTAAAGAAACGGGACCCGCCGCTAATCCACTCGCCTTCATCCAGGCTTACGTTTCTTTGATATCAACCATTTGGCCGAGTAGCGCTGCGGCAGGGACGAGGACCGCCCCCATTGCTCCCCGCACCGGTGCCGGCCGCGCATGCCGGCAGACGGCAAGCCCTGGCGGTGGCGGCCCACGCCGAGGTCGTAGTTGCCGTGGTCGTGGCGGCCGCTGCCGAGGTCGTGGCCGCCAGCGTCGGCGACGCTGGCTCACCGTCGACACCGACGCCGACGGAGTCGCTGGCGTCGCCGTCGCCGTCGCCGTCGTCGGCGTCGTCACCGTCGTCGCCGCCGCCGTACATGCAGAGGCTGTCAGTCGGCTACGCGCAAGAGTGGCCCTAGGCACGAGTGACCTTTGGTGCGCTGCTTTAGGGGGCCCCGGGGGGACCAGATCCAAGCGCACAGGGCAGCGCTGGATGGACCCCTGCGAGCCCGCACCATAAGTCGCTCCGGCGAAGGGCCACTCTTACGCGAAGCCGAGGCGTCGGCGTCGCCGTCGCCGTTGTCGCCGCCGCCGCGCGTGCAGAGGCCGTCAGGGGAGGAGTCGGCCGTGGCGGCGGCTGGGTGCTGCGGGGGCGGGGCCGCAGAGGGGTCGCGGGCGCTGGCCTGGCCAGGGAGGACTTCGCCTGGAGGGTCTGCGGGTGCAGGGGGCCGAAGGCGGCCTCGCGGCCGTCGGCGACTCGCCTGGAGGGAGGGTCGTCGTCGCCGTCGTCGTCGCCGCCGTCGTCGTCGTCGTCGCCGTCGCCGTCGTCGTCGTCGTCGTCGTCGTTGTCGTCGTCGTCGTCGTGTTGGACGTCATCGACGTCGTCGTCGTCTTCGTCGTCGTCGTGGACATCGTCGTCGTCGTCGCCGTCGTCGTCGTCGTCGCCGTCGTCGTCGTCGTCGTCGTCGTCGTCGTCGTCGACGGCGCCGTCGTTGCCGTCGTCGCCATCGTCGTCGTCTTCGTCGTCGCCGTTACTACCGCCGTCAACGGCGCCGTCATCCCCGCGCTCGGACGGGGGGAGAAGGAGGAGGAGGAGGAGGAGGAAGAAGAGGAGGAGGAGCAGCAGGAGGAGGCGGAGGCGTAGGCGGAGGCGGAGGAGGGAGGAGGAGGAGGGGGCGGAGGGGAGGGAAGGGAGGAGGAGGGGGGAGGAGGGGGAGGAGGAGGGAGGAAAAAGGAGCGAGGAGAAAGAAGGGAGGAGCTCTGAGACGGAACTCCTCCCTTAGGGGTGGAAGGTCACCAGATCCCCAGGTGGCTGGGGATTGTGGAAGTAGCCTCCTCTGCGGGCCTGACGTCCAGCAGCAATCTTCGCTATGCTTCGGCGTAGGGCGTGATATGCCATCTTGGAGCAGCTTTGTGGCCCGCATGGCGCCACCCTGGGGCCGACCGCCTCAGGGACCGCCCACGGCCCCGAAGAAGGCTCTTGAAGGTAGCGTTTCCGGTTCCGACAATCGGATCTTGACCAACGGCTGCATGGGTTCCTTCTTGGCGCCTCGTGGGGCCTTCGGGCATACAACAACAACAACAACAACAACAACAATCATTTAAGACTGGGGACACTCCGTTCTCACCAGTGCCAGGGTTTTCATAGGAGGCGGGCAATACCCCCACTTTGTGGGGGGGCCGGTTCAAGCTCTACCAAATTTCCAAACGACTCTTCGCCACCACCCACACCCAGCTTCCCGCCCTATGACGTTCGGACACTTCACTTCGTGGCATGCGGACGACCGTGGCTACTATTCAGGGCCCCGCGGCCGACGACGACGGCGTGCGCGCGCGAAGAAAAAACGAATGTGTCCCGCATGGTATTATTTGACAGGGATGATGGCCCTGGCAGGTGCGCAACCGTTGTCGCAGAAGTTCGAAAAAGTTGCTCGCAAAAGCCCGTTTGACAGAAATGTTTAAAAAGTGTTGGGTTTCCTACGAATCCGCAAGAGCGCGCGGGATGAGATTTTGACATTTTTTTGTTGAAAAACCATTGGTTTTTTGATGTTTTTATGTTAAAATCGCTCCGAACACTAAGCTTTTGGAAGGATTTCGTCTTGCGCGCGCGAATGTCCACTTTACCTTATTTTTTGCAAGGGATTCTTGAAATTTGATTATATTAGAACAAGAAATGTCATTTTATAGTGTTTTTTGCAAGGGAAAGCGGGGGGGAACAAAACAACCGGATCTTGATCACATCGAATTACCTGAGGCTTCCTCACGAAAATGATGAAAATGTAGCTGCGGCCTAGGCGGCGCAGGGGGGCCGTGCACCAGGGGTCCCAACAATAATTATTCTTTAGAATTAATAATGTTCAACAACAACAACACCACCACCACCAACAACAACCACAACAACAGCAACAACAACAACACCACCACCAACAACAACAGCAACAACAACAACAGCAACAACAACAACAACAACGAGAGCGTCCGGAGATTGCAAGATGAAAGGGAGGTCTGGAAAATATGCTCGGGGCGAAGGCAAATGAGACATTGGGACAAAAAGGGGTGTTAAGTCCCGGGGGGAGGGGGGGAGGTCCGAATACTTTTCAGCAAGGAGAATCAGAGTGAGGCAATCAACGTGGTGCAACAGATGTTGTGCAATGTGTGTCGTGCACTAGATGTTGAGCACCCTATGTTGTGCAATCCATGTGGCACAATATATGTTATGCAAATTATGTGAATGAGTCTGCGTAGTGCGCAGGCTATGTGGTGCAGTCTACTTGGTGTATTCTATGTAGTGAGATTTATGTTGGTACAAGAAATGATTCAAAACGAATATATGTTGTGCAGTGTATGTGGGGCGGCGACGAGGCGGCGACGGCGGCAACAACCGCGGCGACTGAGAGACAGGCCCAGACGACAGAAGACGACGAGGCGGCGACGGGGCGGCGACGGCCAGCACGGAGCCGCCAGACCGACACACAAGCCCAAGCGACGGGCGGCGACGAGGCGGCGACGGGACGGCGACGGCCAGCAAAGAGCCGCCAGACCGACACACAGGCCCAGTTCCGTAAACCACACGGCCTCAGCACCTGGAGCCCCGCTGGGCGGCCCCCGCCCTTGGCGCGTGGCGTGGTTAACTCACCCTCGCCTGGCCGCTCCGCTCGTCAACGGCAAGCTCTGCACTGACCCACCGCTTGCTCTGGACCCCGCTCGGTGCCTGATGCCGCCTGCGCTTCTTCCACTCGCCGATTCTTGGCATTCTTGCCCTGCCCCCTTTTCCTCCTCCGCGGCCGCCCTCCCCCATGAGGGGCAACGTTAGGGGGCACTGGCAGAGGCGGGGGCGCATCGACCTGGCATTGGCGATACATCGCCGATGGATCGGCGATAGGCCTCCGAGAGTGAATCTGGGCAGGTTGGGGCTATCGGGGCGATCAGTGGGCGATTGGGGGTCGATGCATCGCCCCCTATGATGGGCCTGTTTTCCACCACCACCACCATAAGTTGGAGGGGGGAAGGAGGAGGAGGACGAGGAGGAGAAGGACGATGAGGAGGAGGAGGAGGAGGAGGAGGAGGAGGAGGGCCCCCTCCCCCTCCAACCTATGGTGGTGGTGGTGGAAAACAGGCCCATCACCCTATGCCTATCCCCCCCTATAGCTGCCTCTGGCTCCCCTTGCCTCCCGCGCGCCCAGCGCCCGGCGCGTCCCGCCGGTGCCGATGTCCGCGCCTGCGCCCGCCGGCGCTGCCGAAGGGCATGTTCGTCTTGCTTGTCTCGTGGGCTTCCACGGCCCCGCTGTACCCCTGATAGGTTTCCCTACAACATTTTTTTTTTTCATCAGCGCAATTTTGGGAGAAGGAGGAGGAAAGCAGAGGGGACGAAGCGGACAGAACCGATGGTCCCTCGTGCAGTCACCTCTGGATGAGGTTTCCCTACAACATTACGGCTAACATGAGAGCGTGAAGCCCCACAACCGGATGCAAGCTGCAGGTCCTTCCAATTGCAGTCCAGTTGTGTTCGATTTGCAAACTGTTTAAACTTGTAAACAACTTAGGGAAGCAGCGCTGTGGGGGCCGCGGAAGCTTACCCAGAAAACAAATAAAACATGAACAACATTTGAAAACACTTGCCTTCACAGAGAAAAATATCGTGCAGATCCCTCATCAATGAAATCATCGTTGTACCAGCCTTTGCACAAGGATTGCTTAAGTGGCCTCCTTTCTTAAAGATTTTAGTTGGTGGGGATCTGCAGTGGCCTCCACAAGTAAACTTCTAGTCGCATTTGCAAGGGATCTCTTTTGAGGTGGCCTTGCAATATGATTTCGCTTGTGGAGGCCACTACAGATCCCCCAGAACAATACACTTCCTGCAATATCGCCACAACAAGAATATGATTTTTAAATGCTGCTTCAAACAGGATTTCGAGAATTGGGGATCTGCACGTCAGAATAACGACAGTCATACGTTGTCATACCTGTTTCGCATGTTCACTGTGAAAACAAAGTTTTGCATGGCTTTCCTGTTGTTTTTATTTTCTCTCTAGCGTTCCTGGGCTCAAGGTGGCGCCTCGACAGACCCCTCAGAATTGAAATCCTTCTGTAAGACCAAGACCAGCGCAAAGGAAATCCGCTTGCAAAGGCTGCTACAAAGGGTGTTTGAAATCCAGAGGCCACTGCAGACCCTCCACAATCGAATTCCGTTCTGTAAAATCGTCATAAAAAAGATCGTCATGAAAAGGAGCATGTTGCAAAGGCCGTTACAACATGATTTCAAGTGTGGGTGATCTGCACCATCAAAGTAGCGACGGTAACAAGCTTTTCTAGCGTTTTCCAAGGCCTTCTTATTCGAAACCATAATGGGTTTCAGATGTTTTGGTTTTGGCTTTCCGGTTCAAGACACTGCCAGTGCACATCACCCACAACTAAAGGCAAGACCATCACGAAGGAACTCCCTTTGCACAGGCTGCTGCAAAAGAGCTTAAGTGTCGAGGCCACTGCAGATCCCCCACCATGAAAATACTTACACACAAAAAATGGTTGTTTTAAAGGCTTCTACAACAGCGATTCTGACTGTGGGTGATTTGCACGGTCAAAAAAGGCAGTCACAGGTAGTCCCAGCTGAAAAAATCTTCATGTGAAAACGCAAGCGCTTGCATGTTCGTCATGGCTTCCTTTCTAGCGCTCCTGGGATCAAGGCGTCGCCACTGCAGATCCCCACGCTTGAAATCCTTGTGTAAGGCCGGCACACAAGAACCCCTCTGCAAAGGCTGCCGCGCCGCACCCGCGACACTCACACCTCACTCTTCCCCTCCTCTTCTTCCCCACATGTTTCGTAGGGTTATGGTTTTCTTCCCTGCCGCGTCGCACCCGCGTTTCCTCACACCTCCCCTCCTCCCTCCTCCCCTCCTCCATCGCACTGCATGGCAGGAGGCCCTATGCGGGCCATGGCGCAGGGCACGGCAGGCGTGGCACTTTCTCTTTACCAGAGGGGGTGCGCAAGGGGTGGTCCCTCAGCGCGGCCCCTATGCGTGCCAGTCTCGCAGGGCGTGGCAGGCGTGGCACTTTCTCGACACCACAGGGGGTGCGCCGGGGGTGGTCTCCCTATCCATTTCGGGCTCGCAAAGCGTGGCGGGCGTTGCACTTCCTCGACACCACACGGGGTGCGCTGGGGTGGTCTCCCTATCCGTTTCGGGTTCGCAAAGCGTGGCAGGCGTGGCACTTCCTCGACACCATCGGGGGTGCGAAGGGGGTGGTCGCCCTATCGGTTTCTGAC